CACTAAATGAAAAAGCCGTTGAACCTTATTCAAATTTATAAGTACATGTTATTATGTATTTAATTATGAAAACTGACTAAATTAAATGTGATCTTATTTTTAATTTGAACAGAATTATGATTTTTGTTTCTGTTGCCCTGAAATAGACATTTGTAAAAAAAAAATTAAAAAATCATGCTTGATTAAAATTCAAAAAAAAAAAAGATGTAGCCATGTAGCCCCTTCCTGTTATCTGTTTCCAACTTCTTCCAAAGTAAAACTGGTGAAGCCATGTAATTGCCATACAATCATCAACTGTGGGAAAACTTATATGTTATTGAAAATCTTTATTTTGTTGTCTGTGAATTAATATAATATTTGAAATGGCGTAATGGTGCAAAATCTTCTGATGACACTACACTGCACATTTATGCACAGTCAGTATCCCAATGCGCGATCACAGCTTACTAAGTGATGATGGTGGTTGAAATGGAAAACTGAATACAAAAATCCAGTAACATCTCAAACGAATTTCCGTCTGCTGTGAATGCATGTTTCGTTGCATCAAATAAATAACCCAGTTTTATGATAGAAGCTAGCGATCTTGTGCCATACAGGGTCAAGTGATTGAGCAATAACAAATGTGATTTTATGTATACTATCAGGTCATTGAATGTATCCAAAAACATGGTACCAATGATCTGAAATTTCAGGAGTGCTCGCTGAAGGTTTATCAATCTTGCTTATTGGCTTGTTCTTTTTCAATCCTGCATTTCAGTTACTAGAATTTATACTAAAAAAAATAGTTTCTGTTTTTCTTCTAATAATTCGGCCACTCTCAAAAACAATTATTTTTTCATGAAGAAGAAGAATACAAAACTACTGTGATTTCATAGCGATACCTGTAGGGCCATTGTCAATTAGTTCGCCTGATCAACACAGCGTTATACATAGGGCTGATATTGAATCACGGAGAGTAAAATCTTGTGATACTAATCCCTAGAACCACTCAGATTGGTACTTACGTCTTATGAAACCACATGTGTATGTCTTTGACTATACTCATTTTAAACTTTTTTTTTTTTTTACAGTAGTGCTGTGAAGTGCTTCAATTTCGCAAGGCAATTTTTTCTGGGTTCCTACAACATGGAGTGTCAGGGACTTTATTGAAATGTACACAAATTTCATAAAATCCTGAATATATCTAGAAGTGAGAATTGAATGGTTTACAGTATTTTATACCCATTAATAATGATTGAAATGTAATAATATCACTGCACTAAAAAGACTTCAAACAATTATTGTTACTTCTCCATTGAAGGTTATGAACAGACCAACCTTTACTGGCTTCCTTAATTATTACATGTACTTGCTCTGAAAACATAGCTTTTACAATTGTTTAAATTAACAGATGTTGTTCTATATGTACAATGAATACATTTTAAATAATAAACCTTACTGTGTTAATAACAAATTGTTTTTGACAACATGAGAATGATTCTGATGCCCAGTGGTGATGTTGAAACAAACCCAGGTCCTGGTAATATACTACCGGTAAGACCTGATTAACAAAGAAGTCATGTACATCAAGGTTCACTCAGATTTATGAATGCAGTTTCTTGATCAAGTATACATGTATGACAAATATTTTTGTTGCACTTGTGTACTCTGAGATTCTGAACATGGGTCAGTGGAAGTTTTTATTTGTCAGTACAAAACTAGATCATGAAATCACTTTATGATGAGTTGTAACCACAAAGAGTACATATTTATTCACCTGTTTGCAGATGTTCCTTGTACTACTTTATAATCAAATAACGGGGACTGTGACATTTCATGTCTTGTTTTTTTTATCATTTTCAGAAATGTCTTCATTGTCAAAGAAAAGATCTTGTACATCTGGCGAAAACACAAATACAGTAAGAAAATGCGCCTCGCCCAGACTCTTAACAGCAGCATAGAAGATGAAATTCCCACACAAGTGTACACACCAGACACTGCGATGTTTGAAAGCCAAATCCCAACACCAGAAAGAACTCCAGAAAGTTCCAAGACTATCGAGTTTTTCGGTGGTACCGGTCCATATACATTAGTACCCCATCCAGCACCGTCAGCATCACCACCACCTGCTCCTGTGAAGGTTACGCAACCTTCTATGCCCATATACAGCTGTAGCACCCCTGTGATGTCAACGTCAATCTCACATTTCACATCTACACCAGAAATGAGAATCCCTTCATTTCAACTCTCACCCCCTCCGATAAACCGTGCACGACGCGACTTACAGCTACGTGAAAATGATCAGGAACTGACAGAAAAGAATCTCTGGGAGACAGCTGGACACGTTATGCACAATTGGCGTCAGCTCGGACATACTCTAGCCCTTGAAGAACGCGATCTGTGCTCCATTGAACACCAATACAAAACCAATATACGTGAACAGGCATTTCAAATGCTGTTAATGTGGAAACAGCAGTACCCTGATGCATGTACCAAGGGTAAACTCTATCAAGGTTTATCAGATATTGGACTCAATGGAATTGCCATTAAATGCTGCCAAGCAAACTAAACACCTCTTGCAGCTATGCTTTTAGAGGTTTTTTTTTAAAACTGGATTACTCTCAAATTTTTAGGTTTTGTTAATATTCTAATGAAATGTTATATATCATATCGTATATAATATTTTAAAGTTTTATGAATTTTGTAAATAATATCACTGATTTCCTGCCTTCTCCAAGGAGATATTGCCATACTATCCGTCTTAAGAAATACTATTGTATAGAGAAAGAAAATATGATGAATTATTTTTAGATTTGAATTGTACATTTTGTAAAAAAAACAATTTATAGAAAAGATCTATTTAAAAAATGTAGACCAATTATGTATGCCCACAAATTGTTCTCTATAGTTTACAGTCGTTTCAATCATGATCCTAATTTAAATTGCCATGGCAACCAATTCATCGTCATTGCTCTTAAGCCTGCCATTTTCTAAATCAGTACCAAACACACTGCCATAGTTTTGAAGCAAAAACCCTTTTTTATGTAAAATTAACCAAAAATGAATTTTGTGGATAACAGCGCAGCTGACATCACTGCACAAGCGGAACCAGTACTAAAATACCAAAGAGCAATATGGCTGCCATTTATGCAAAAACTTGCAACTTTAATAATCATTTCTTGGAAACTCTTAAAAAGAGCTCCCCATCTGTCTTTCCTCTTAAACTCCTGCAGAAAATTTCTGCTTCTTATCTTACATCTGTCAGTCTTGTATTTAATTGTGTAAATCTTAATTTATTTTATAATGAAATTCTGCGAGAGCGAGCTCTCTCTAATGACGCTTCAGAGAAGATTATATTATATAATTCTGTGTGTGTTGTCTTATAGTATATTATTCAGAAAGTAATTGTTTAATACTTTGACAGGAATTGTCTTTTGTTTCTGTAATGGTCAATAGGATATGTAACTAACGTGATTGTTGTAGACCTGGCTGTTGACATCGAGAGTACGTTCAATGCAGAAAACATTTGTAGAGTGTCCCAGTTCGTGTTGCTGTCAAACAATGCATTTTCACAGACACTAAATAGCATTAGCTAACAACGTTGTAAGGTGACTTGTCTACGTAACAAGAATAGTTGAACGACTCAAAGATGTTTTGTGCTATTAACTGTGCCCAATTTGTCATATCCAGCGATAGTATGTAACTTTTGTCACACTCATGGAAAATGACAATGTTTCTCTTGTCATGTCTGAAGATTTCACTTTGTGCTCTTCATAAATGACAACTGAAACATTTTAAATGATTCCACAAACAACGATAATAATAATTTTATTATTTTCATAGCTCAGCTGAATTACCTTTGTACATTTCTCTTAATTATTTAATTTATTATAATAAATTCACTTTTATGAATGTTACCATAGTGACCAATACAGAAATGAATATAAATCAATAAAATACCAGTGTGGACTTTTAAATATGAAAATTGCTTTGATATTGTAGTCATTATCCCCTACTCACGCATGTGATACCCTCTCACATGCAGTGCTCACTTGCTACTAAATTGAAATGCTGCCCACCCCTCCATTACAAATGAATTATATCCTTCAATGGATTTATAGCCATACTACTTGCCTCAATTTCGATACATGCCCCTCAATTGAATTAAACCTCTATGAAATGAAATGTAAGCCCTCGAATTTTACCATTCTAACCAAAAATCTACCCATCTCAATAAAAATATGGTCCTCAATTGAATTAAACTCGCGTCACTTAAAAAGCAGCTCCTGTCCATTCAATTATACCCCTATCATATATACCCCTCATTTCAATTATACCTTTACTCTCTTAATTTACTCCATGTCACTTGTAATGTAGCTCCTTTCATTATATTACCTGAAATATAACGCTTCAGTTTAAAACGGGGGGGGGGGGTCACCTGAGCACGCGCGGGAATTGATTCCCAAACGACGTTAAAACGCAAAGGCTCATGGGTAGAAGCTTGTTTGTAAACAATGACACGCTATGGCCATCTGACGCATGCGCAGGTGACGACTCCCCCGCTTTAATAATAGCTCTATTGTTAGGAATATACCATATTCAATTCAATTAAACACATACATGTATAATGTTTTTTTTCCCCTTTCAATTTAGATCCTTATCACCTGACATATAGTCGTTTTTTTTTTAAATTCAATTATACCCTTATTACCTGAAACGTAGCTTCTTTCAAATATTACTTGAAATGTTGTCCCTTTCAAATATTACTTGAAATGTTGTCCCTTTCAATTCGATTATAGCCTTATTATCTGTTATCATCTGAAATATACCCCTTTTGAATGCAATTAAACCAATATCACCTGAATTGTTTCCATTTCATTTAAACACATTTCAATCCAATTATACCCTTATTACATGAAATATAACATATTTCAATCCAATTATACCCTTATTACATGAAATATAACACATTTCAATTCCATTATACCCTTATTACCGGAAAAGCCCCTTTCAGTTCATTATACCCATTTCAGTTGAAATATACCCCACTCATTTCAATTTATACATGTATTAACTGTTATATATCCATATATCCCTTTCAATTAAACTAAACCCATATCACCTATAATGTAACCCACTTCAATTCAATTATACTTGTATTCACCTTATTACTAGTTTTAAACGAATGTTTACATTGCTAGATAAGAGGAGCATTAACTCGGAGAAATGGTGTATTGTTGTATTGTAACTTTGAAAATATGTATAACATCACTTCAAGAATAAGCTAAAAATAAAATGTCCTCAAATGATGTTTTAGCTAAAAAAAAAGTACGATATATTAAAAGTAAGTATTCCCACCAATGTTATCTTGAGCTTGCTGGAGAGTCGTATTCCTTGGACAAGCACATCTACAACTGGTCTTCGAGAACAAACACCGTGGTCGCAACGGTGTCCCTTTATGTCGACGTAAAAAAAAACACAGATATTGAACACGTTATGCCGACGTAAGGGTGGAATTATACAGATAATTTTTCGTTACCTACCCACAATTTCAATATTTGATGGTGTATATATTGGTCAGGGCTGAAATGTGCATAGTTGGAAATGTAACTTTAACAAAATGACTAATGTCAACAGAATTCGGTGTGCACAATCACCAGTGTATTTACCTGTGTATGGGCATAGTCACTGTGTCTCTTTACGTCATTATACCGATGGAGTAAGATGACAACAGATACGAACACGTAACAATGGCGTAAATGAGTTTAAAAAAGCGGAGCTGGGATTTTTCTATTTTCCTATTTGTTTCGAAATTACGTTCTAATTTCTGAATACCGGAAAGAACCAGATCGCACTGTTTTTTCAAGATAGCTAAATTATTATTTCTTCTCCAACTATCATGTAGATATATATCTCAATCAACGCGGAATGGTGGTGAGCGTCGTCTGAATACTGTTTTGTTGCCAATGTTCCACTAAATTCGTTTATTCATTGGTTCAATTATTGTTTTACCGAAAATGGCTTTCTGTGTTTACACAGAAATCACGTGACTATACACGTCCATACACACACTATCTTGTCGATTTCATATCCAGTGTGAAATAGGCTTTCCATCAATATATAGTTTTGTGTGGTTTAGTAAATATTTTATATGAAAATATCAGTTTAGAAAATCAATACCAAAAACGTATACAGCATCCTTAAACCATGGATTCTAGGGTACGTTTGAACATGGAAGTACCTTCCATGGTTTGAAGGAGGGGTATGTGTAAAGGGTGATGCTCCTCGCGCAGCGCGTGTTCGAATATCATGTAAACAAACAATGTATTTTA